TGGGCCATCTGATATATAGATTGCCGACTGCTACATGTAAAGATATGAGATCTGGTGGAGCTGCTTTAGATTTTGGGTTACGTCGGATGTTTGGCTACCTAGCACTTGGTCACATCGTGGTTGTGAGATTTGATCTGATAGCATATTTAGGAGTCAGATGCGTGTTTGATTATCAGGTATTGGCTTCTGACTTTGTTCTGAGTAGGTATGTCACGTTTGACTCTCGGCAGGTGGAGAGTGGTAATCAGATCATTAGGACATCGCAGTGGGTGGAGAGTGATGCTACTCCACGTAGGGTGGAGATTACTCCACATACTCCAGATCATACTGCATCATTTGGGATTCCAGCTGATATGACACAGATTGTGAATCATGTTGATTCGGATGCAGATGATAGGTTGATGGATTTGAGTATAGCCAATAGATGGAGTCTGGATATGGCCATTGGTTCATCTCAGGTGGAGACGTTTGGATTATTTTAGTTTGGGGCCATTAGAGGTGCTATCAGCCGTAGACTTGATCGTGATGTTAGAGAAGGGTTGTGAACTCTTCTAGTGGATTGAGGCCTTTGGAGGCCATTTGGATGAACTACGTGAGGCTTAATTCCTTAGGCAAGAGGATACGTAGGCAGTCATTTATGATGCAGCCGATTTGGTGAGTTAATACCGACATTTGGAGAGTGTTCGCATTCTCATTTGGGTTCTCGACTTGTTATGGACTGAGTCCGTTGTTGTGAATCGTTTCACTTCTTACTGGACGCAACAAGTGAGATATTTGTTTTGGTTGGTGTTGGCTCAGTTTTGTGAAAACTTCACCGAAGTGGAGAATTGTGGCGTGGGGGCCACCAGAAGAGAAAAGCGTGAAGTGATCACGTGAACAGAAAACACGTGAATTGATCTCCGTGATAGCCCTAGGGAAAGGCCCACCCGATTGTAGTACTGCAGTTATATAAATAGCCTTTATTCGGTGACCTAGTTTTTGGTGAAAGGAGATTTATTGCGGCTGTGTGCAAAGGTGAAAAAGGGAAGAGGGAAAGTTGCAGGTCTGCAAGGCAGCGTGTGGGCGTGCAAGTGCAGAGGCGTGGAAAAAATCACGGTTGTCTTCATTAGCTTCGTGCAAAGGGAAATTGCAGGAGAAGCAGCGGCTGTGCAAGGCTGAATGAGAAAAAGTGCAAAGGACAGAGGCTTGTGGCGGCTTTGGAGAAAAACGCAAAGTGAAGACCTTTTTTCGGCTCTGGTTGATTTTCGGCAGAGGGCTTCATTGCAAGTACGGAAAAAGGCAGAGTTTGTGGCTGTGTGCAGTTTGTTCTCCTAGGGTTTTGTGTAGCAGTCTTTTAGGGTTTTAGCATCCTTTTATGAGAGGTTTGAGAGTTTGTTTGAGGGTTTAGATTGTGAGATTGTAAACCCTAGTTGTATCTCTCTCTAATAGTAGATCTCACCCTCCTTGCCCCGTGGACATAGGCAATTTGCCGAACCACATTAAATTTATGTTCTTGCCGTGATTTGTATAGCTTGTAGGTTCCCTCGACAAGTCAGTCCTAGAACTAATGAGAGGAAGAGCTGATATCTCACTTTGTTGAGTTATTTTGCTTTCGGTTCTTGTTTCCTTTGTGAAACAAGAGCTGATATCTCACTTTGTTGAGTTATTTTGCTTTCGGTTCTTGTTTCCTTTGTGAAACAGGATTTCCGTTGTGATCTAATCTCTTGTTGGAGTTATTTTGCTTTCGGTTCTTGTTTCCTTTGTGAAACAGGATTTCCGTTGTGATCTAATCTCTTGTTATGCACCTTGCGCACTGGAGGTGCTGCCGAAATTTCCGCTACGCACAACAAATAGTTTGCCAGCAAAAGGACTAGCAAGGAGAGAACATGCTGGCATGCATGAGGATGAGACTTGTGATTATGTTAAGAAAATTTTCTACTAAGCAAGAAAGGATTGTGAAAGATAACAAATGTTAGGTGTTAGCCTAAGCCTACCACTCGAACATTCCTGCACATGCTCCGAGCTATTTTATTTAGAGCTACTGTTTAGCTCCTTGCTTTTGTGAGCCACTTTGGTTTTTGATGTATTTTTTGAGCTCTTTTACTTGCATACTGATCCCAGGTGTAACGGGGATTGAGTCTGTTGGACTATTAATTGCATATGGTATCACTTACCAAAAATAAAGCAAATCTTAGAATTGAGACTTGTGGTTGGCTGTTTATCTCCTACCATTTAATTTAAAAATTTCTTCGTCAGAACTTTTTTTTTTTTTTTTGCATTTTGCTGTGTTCAGGTCATGTGGTCAACAATTTGGTCTTATTGAGCGTTTTATGTGGTTCTTAATTACATTCAGCATTCCCTTTATTTAGTGGATATATAGTTGATTGAATATTTGAATTTGACATTATTAAGAGGATTTATTGTATCTCTTATCCTTTTCCCCAAGTTTTAATTGGTATCACACGTACTATCGAGGATTATGTAGAATTATTTCCTAGTTGGATCCGTGTAGTGAATTTCAGCATCTTTAGTTAGATAATTACTTGTATTCTGATTTCTTCATATTGTTTGTGTTGCACTTTGTTTTTTTTAACAATGCTAGAACTTTGATTATGGTGCTGTAAAGTGCTAACAAATGTAGCTTGACTCTAGAATTTTTAATTTTAGGAATTTGTTCTATGTTCAGCAGTCATTGGTTGATGAAATCATTTAAACAGGAGGTACAGACCTTTAATTGCTTTCTCATATTTATTTCTGTCAGGGATTTTTGCTTGGTGATGTTGTGACTGTGAGTTTAAACAAAGAGTTGTAGGTTTTTTTATTGAATAGATGCAGCTAGCTTCTCGTGCCAGTCAAATTCTTTTTAGTGTCATATGTTATTTGTCATATGTTTTGGCTCCTACATTTATTTGATTATCTTTTTTTGAAAGGTGACTTTGTGGAAGCTGTTGAGCAGTGTATCACGATCTATTAATACTTATTACGCGGCCTAAAATCACATCATTCCCTTTTTTTTCTGATCCGCTCCATTGAACTTGATCTACACTTTCTTAAACCCAAACACACCAATTTTGGGGTGAACCCGTCGTGTTTTGACCCTTCGTTGAGCTGTGCAAAAAGTTCTATTCATTCGAAACCGTTAAAATTACGGCGAGTTGATGAAGGGTCAAAACAAGACGGGCTCACCCCAAAATTGATGTGTTTAGGTTTAAGTACGTGTAGATCAAGTTCAACAGAGCGGATCGGAAAAAACAATTAGTGAATGATATGATTTTAGGTCGCGTCCTTAGGTGGGAATCTAAGGTGTCACCTTAAAATCACTTTTCCCATATATATATATATATATATATATATATATACTCCTGCTCTCTTAGTTATAAGTATATCTATCATTATATAAGTAATAATATATGTTAATATATATTGTATACTATATATATATATATATTATATACTATATATATTATATATATATATATATATATATAGATATATTATATATATATATATACTCTTATATAAAGTTTAATTATAAATGTACATATAAGTTTATGTTTATATATATGTATAGATATATAAATATATATTTACATTTAATATGTTATTTAATAATTGTTTATATAAATATACTTGATATACTGTACATATAAATTGTATGTTTCTATATGTATATATATATATATATATATATATATATATATATATATGGAGATAGGAGAATCTCCTATGGATATGTATATTTTAATACAGTGTTAGACATCAGTAGTACTTAGATATCTATATAGAGTTTGTTAGATTTCCGTTCTTGTTTAGAACTTCTCACGTATATGATATATGTTCACTTTTCAGTTTCAAACTGTGTTATGCTCAAATTTCAGCTTGAGAACATTATAAATCATTATATACCTATTGTATACCCTCACTTCTGAGATTTGCCATGATATTAAGATAGTTTGGTTAGCTTTTGGGTGTCTCCCTATTGTTGTTTGGCATCTACTAGAGTAATAGCAACAGTGACATGTTAAGCTTGCTTATGTACAAAGGAGGGTGTATAGAAGGTCCTAAAATCTCTGGGGTTTACCCTAGATTGCAGCCAGTGTGAAAGTTAGGGGTGTTACAGTAAATTACAGTGAACCCCATAAACTTCCAGCATTTTGCATTAAATATATCCTATGAACCTTCAAATCACACTAAACCCCTAACGACTTTTGTAGAAAGCCACAACGATCTTTTAGATAAATTACACTAAACACCCAATAACTTTCAAAATGCCTTTTTTATGCAATCTTCTGGTTCTAATTTACATGGGTTATTTGCAAAATTCAAAAAGTTATTAGAGGTCTTCTTTGAAACATAAAAGTTATTAGGGGTTTTGTGTAATTCTTAAAGTTCACATTGGCCGGAAAGTTCATTAGGGTTAAGTGTAATGTACCCTATTAAATAATTATAATGAGAAGTAACTATTGCAATATGTTGCTGGTATCAAGTGTAATTATTTAGGGAATAATAGGAAAAAGCTAGCAAGGTTAATGTGGCTTAGTTAATTTAGAGTTAAATTAACACCTTTTAAGTTGGAGGGGGTACATTTAAGAAAACTTATAGAATTAGTAGTTTTATTTAAGAATAATTTAAGATTTGTGGACTTATTTGAAAAAAGGTTAACACTAAACGAACATTATAAGAAAAATATTTAATTACAATAAATATACAATAATAATTAATTTATACATTTCTTTTTAAGCAATCTTATAATACATATTTATTAACATATAGTTTTACTATTCAATAAAAAAATTTAAAAACTTAAAACATGTACGTTCACTTGCAAAACATGTGCATTATACTAGTTAACTTATAATATGATTTCTATATTAAAAACCAGTGGAAGAGGTTACCATCGAATTGATCTATATTAGACCTATTTTAAAGACGGTTTCAATGTAAAAGCAATGTTTTTGTAAATTTATCTGCAATTGGGCTTTTTTTAAGGCCGATTACCTTTAGGTTGAGAAGCAGGCCGTGCTCGACCCAATTCTAAAGAGACTGCGCCGCATCCCCCCATGTTTTAGGGCGTAAAATCAAACTGCGTTCATAAATCCAAAGAGAAACCAATTTGATACAGAATTCGAAATCAAAAGCAAGAGGAGAAGCAAGAATCATGGCCGATTCCAGCAGCCCTAGCATCAACAGCAGCAGGAGAATGAAGTTTTTGAAAGCAGCGTTTCGCGCCATGGAACCCCCAAACTGCTTCGTCTCCTTAGCCAAGTAAAGCTGCAATCTTTGTCTTCAAAATTTTTGGTTGTTGGTTGAAATAGATATTTTTACACAAGAATCAGTATTAATTATATATTACTCTTATTTTTTTAGACAAATTGGTGGCGGATCAATTACAGAAGAAGTTCAAACATATATTTTGGAGCATTGCATTAATAATGTAAGTATCAATCAAATTTGTGTAAATGTTTTCCTCTCGTTTCAATTGTTTTTATTTCGGAGTTTAATATGTTCTAGAGAACCTTCAGATTTGATTGTACGAGCTCGATATACTTTTATCATGGCAATGTGAAATATATTGGTGGAAATCAAATTGCTGCACCTTTACTCTGTCAATAAATTTGGACAAATCCCTTCATATTCGGTTCACCTCGGATGGTTGAGTTATGATTTTATAGGGTGACTGAGAAGTTTGAGTTCAAATGTAGTTTAAATGTAATAGATCATAGAAAGTTTCATCTATTTAGAAGGTATTAATGTAGCATATATAGTTTCATATATTCTAAAAATGAACATGAAGTGCTTGTCTCTTCCTCGCAGTTCTTCATGCGAAGAATGCTTGATTTGTTAGGGGTTCTATTTGACACCACATACTGTCAGACCCTTTTTTTTAATTTTTTTATAAAGTTCTATTTCATGATTAACAAACTAATAATAAAAGATCATTCAACGGTTTGTTTCAGATTTTTCTTTTGCATCGTATAATATTGGCATTTTAGGTGAAGTTTGACTTCTTTATCTAATAGTTAATGACCCTTTTTTCTCTTATGCATATGTCCCAGTTTACCAGCACCTGGTACTTCTACTTTAGTCTTCCATCATGGGAAAATGGTGTCTTTACTTTTGACTATCTATAATGGTCTTTCGAAGAGAGCCACATACTGAAAATTTTGGTTAGATGAGGAAAACTTGGAGCCTTTCTGCTTCTGGTTTATGCAACATTATGTTCATTGTCAAAGCTCAGGGGTTCCTTGCATGTTTTATTCTTATCCATAAGTTCTCAGTTACATCAAAGGCTGGTATAAATGTTCACCATGCCCTTACTGAGTTTTGAGTAATCCATCAATGCAGCAGGATAAACAGTAGAGTGCTTTACATTTTTTCAAATCTATATAGATACTCGAAGCCTTTTATTTATCTAGTTTTTCATTGAAGAATCATAAAGATGCAGTCTGAACATTTTCATATATTGAAGACTGATTATTCATGGTTGTCGCCATTTTTTTTATGTTTGTTTATTCATTTAACAGTCATATTTAGATAGTAATTGTGACCATTTGAAGTTCCATTCTTTGCTAGGTGTATGTGTGTCACGCATTAAGGTGATAGCGTAGGTAAATCTGTTAAATGATATACTGTAATTATCCTAAGGTACATACATTTTCTATCTGCTTTGTTTTGAACATCTACTGTGGAGAAAGAAAAGCAACTCCAAAATACTGTAATCTATGACCCCAACCCTCCTTCCAAAAAAGTAAGAAAATAAAATAAAAAATGAATAACTAAAAACAAATAATTTAATATTCTACATTGAAATTGAATTGCAACGGCATTAAGATGAAGCATGAAGAATGCATTAAATAATTGGTTTGCAATTGAGCTTTAACAGGACACATGATGACGAAGATCTGCAGCATAAATTTTAGCACTAATGATAATGAAACAAGAGTGACTACTTAGTGAAATAAAGTTGTTGTTATAATGATATGGAAATTAAATATCCATGAGGACAGTATGGTACCTAAGATTAGCTAGATTACTAAGTTAGATCTTCTAACACAAGATCTATACATTTAAGCTATTAAAATTGTTCAGTAACTCACCCTTGATTTTGTCACCTTACATAATATGGAGAAACTTGGGTTACTTGACCTTTCTGCTAGCAAAGACATCTTGTTTGCTGCTAAAACATTTTATGTATTCATTCTTAAAATTTCAACTGTTTAATCAGTAATGAGAAAAACTTAAATTGAGTAGAAGAATCAAACCAGTAGCAACATCAATATAATCCCACAAGTAGCAGAAAAGCAATGGTCACCATAAAAGGAGATGAATGGGGAGGAAGAGGGAAAAAAAGAAGCAACACTGGAGCAACAGCAGCATTAGGAGATGCTAACCAGTAAAAAGAAGCAGCAACAAAGGAGAAGCAGTAGCCGTAGGAGCATAGCTACAATCAAGCAGCATTAGCAGCTGTAGAAGAAGAAGACTGCTCCAGTATTTTCCAAGATGAAAGATTCTAAGTGGGCTTAAACTGGTTAAATGTAGTCAATTCCTGCTTTTACCAATCCTTTAACTGGTTGTCTGATATGCTTTGTTTTGGATTGGGATGCTTAGGCGATGCCTACATGTTTGGTGTAAGGGTGCATATGAAGCTAAGTTGCATGGAAACGGGCACGGGTACTGGTACGGGTGCGGGTATGGGACACGACAAAACTGTAAAATGTAGGGTATGGGGACACGACTACATATATATATATTGAATTAATACTGTACATAAGATAATTTTTCCCCTTCATGTGTCATTAGAATTAAAATTCCGATCACATTTTTGAGTTTTTTTTATCATATTGATTATCGTGAATTGTAAACTACTCATTTTTTTTACTAGACATCTAAACGACCCATTAACTATATAGTTTTAAACTTGGGTATGGACTGAAACGAATCCGACCTGTATCTCATTAGTTTCAAAAGACGGATGTGAAGTGTAAGCTCTACGTCCAGGAAGTCTTTGACAAGTGTTTTAAATTAACACATATATCGTATAATTGAGTACATGTTTAATAAATACATGCATATATTCAAGAAGTGTCCATGAAGTTTGGGTACGGGAAAGTGTCGGGTACGTGTCCGGTACGGGTATGGCTTCATTATAGAAGTACCCGGGTAACATAGATATGAAGTAAAATTGAGAGGAGATTGGTTCCGAATTAATTTTTAAAACCATTGTTTCTGCAACTTGAAAGTTCACTTTTTGTGTAAGGTAGATACTGGTGATAATGTGCTTCTGAGAGGAAAAAGTTTGATGTTACCTGAAATAAGATTTAGTATAGAATTTCAGGTAGACGTCTCATGTTGTTGGTTTGATTCTGAGATAGTAAATGTAATGGTGTGGTTTTGCCTATCTTTTTCTTGTTTCTCTGGAAACTGATACTCTACTACAATAGATTGTGCTTTTAGTAATTTTGATTTTCATGTTTCACTGACGCAGGTCGTTGAAGGGAATGCATATAACAGTATGTATGTGAGAAATATTCTTAAGAAAATCATACTTGCTGCTGAATCGACATCTGAGGTTACAATGGATGGCTTGTATGAACAACTCACCCTTCATATGACCTTACAGAGGGTAATCCATGTTTCCTATTTGTTTTCATCTACCTTGGCGACATATCCCTCTGAAAAGAAAATTTATATACGGAGCTTCCATGAGGTGTACCTCATCATGTAGTCAAGATTTAGGGTAAGCAATTGATCCTCACCCCCTTTTTGTGCAAATCGTGGTGCATGCTATTAGCATACATTTGAGCTCCATATGTAATCATTTTCTATGGAACTCTGCTTTTGTTCTCCGTCCTCTCCCTCTTCTTGTCTCTAGTTGTCTTCTCCACTACAACAATTGTTTGCACAGTCACAATCCTGACAGCCTTCATGAACTTCTATATACCTTGAGAGAAGTTATGATGTATTTTCCCGCTTTTCAGTTTAAGATGTATTTTCTTTTCCAATCATGTACAAGGATAATTCTCAGGGGTAAATACATGATTACAATAATTGATAAGCAAAACGCTTATATTACCTCAGTGGCTCACTCTTATATCCTATGATGGAATATTCTTATTTTGGTTGTCATTCAGATTCTTCAAGTCTTGGGTAATTTTGGTCTTTGCATCTCGTTCTGCAAGCTTAAGCTACACAATCAGTGCAATATCTCTATCCATCTTTTGTTCTTCTAATATCTTGGTTTGCATCAAAGCCCTCACCAGTCAATGGTTTCTTCGGTTAACAATTTTGAACTATCTTATTGAAGATTACTGTCAGAGTTAACGTTGGCACTGATATCTCATCAATTCCTCTTTGGAGTTTTCCCAAGAATACCGACAATCATCAGTGCACTAATTCCATGACTTACAGATTTGATGAATTCCTTTTTGGATTTTTTCACTAAACGCATCCTCGTAAGCCATCTGGGGGGAAAAGCTTGCTCATAATTAAATTAGTTAAGGTGCAACATCATTATTTTATCTGTAGCTTGCTGATTCTACAACCTTGTTATCTTTTCACTAGAAGTAATTTGTGCAAGTTGTTGCATCGGAATATAGTATACCAAGAGTTTTCTTTTTGCTCTTTGGAATTACTTTCCTCATAATGTTTTCTTTTGTACTTTCCAGGACGAAGACTCACTAAAAGAGAAAAGTAGAATATTTAAAGAAATTTCTTTTCTTTTCCCAGGTGCGTTTATGTGTATACTGCGTTTATATCTTTGCTTAAGTGCATATTTCTTTTTTGTTTTAAAGTTTGAACTCTTAATGCTTGAATAGGATATGACGACTGTTCAGATTCTTTGGACTTGGTCTTTCCATTGCAATGTTCACTGAACATGCTTGAAGGAGATACTGGGTATGGTCTAATCCAGAATTGTTAAATTGTTAAACTTTTGTGATCAATAAATGATGTATATATTATTATGTTTATTATGTATGACAGTAGGAAAATCTATTGTTTCCGTTTTCTGTTATTTTCTCCTTTATGTTCTGACATACTTGTAGGCGTGCAGTGTGCTAATATGTTCAATCAAGTAGTTTGTAGATTCCTATGAACTTATTTAACATGACAGAGTGTCACCCTAGGGGTATTATTTGGTGAAATTGATTGCATAATTTCCAAAAGCATGGACATTGTCCTCTAGCTTTTCCATTTTGAATGGCAATTATTTTTTTCCTCCAGTCTGACAACTTCATTATACCTATGTTGTCATTTAATTTGTTTCAAAAGTTTAAACAAACTTCAAGGACTTTTCTTAGAGTCATTGTGGAATTTCCTTCTTGTAGACGTGCCCGCTGAACTAAACCGATTGGGTAAATTTATGGTAACCTTTATTGCCTTTGCCTATGAATGCCAGCTATAATGTCATGAAGAACCTCTCTCCTAGTGGGATAAAGACAAAGTACAAATACCCAAGGTTTTAAATGTCGGCCGACATATCGGTTTGAGGGCTTGACCGACACGACATGGACGTTTTCAACTCGTATATCGGTTTTCAGGGCCAAATCGGAAATATCAGGGTCATATCAGGCATATCGACCTATTTTTTAGCTTTGAAAAATCGACCGATATGGTATTTTTTTTAAGATCTGTTTTTTGTTATCGGGTTTGGGTTTAGTGATAAATACTCAAACTCGTTTGACCCGTTCTCATGTTTAAGGGTTTCTTATGAACCCGAAATAAAGAATTTATGAACCTAAATCCATATATTATTTACTTTTTTATATGTTTAGTCTATAGAATTTATAAAGTATGCTTATATTGAATTTATGAATGCTTAGATTACATTTAAGACATGAAATTATACATATGCGCACTACCCGATATGGCAATTCGATATTTAGTCAATGTCCCCCGATATATCCCCGATTTCTGCTATCCGACATTGATTTCAGCCATCCGACATGAACCCGACATCCGACATTTAAAACCTTGCAAATATCGTCAAACATAGCTATATATGTTACTATCGGCATTTATTTTGTGAAAGTCAACTTGATACTTTTGAAGGCTTGTTTCCTCGTTTTGACATTCTATCTATTGTTACTTGCATCTTTTCTGTCCTCTTTCTCACTCAAATGTGGGGGAAGGTGAGATGAGGCCTCACCATGTCAGCTTTTCGAATATATCCATGACGTGCCCTTTTGGATCTTCAACATATGACCCTGTGAGACATGTCACATCTCCATGTAACACTTGTTCACAATGACAGGTAGATAAGAGGATGCCCTACCATAATCTGGTCTGTGTCTAAGTCTCAGCTGCGTAACAGAAAATTAATCCTTTTATCATTGAGCTTGATTAATTAGGTGTTGTTCTGAAAATTGTGCATATTCAAGCCTCAAGAAAACATGTGCATTACTGCATGCTATATAAGATAAATGGAATAGAGTGGTAACATAAATTTACATACACACATACATAGCGTAAGGCTTTATGTAACCCCATACGTCCTATGAAGTCCCACATGCTAGGAAGACATTCTGGAGAAAATTCAATCTCATGTGAGCCTCATGATCAATGTAGTCATAGGTTGATAGCATCGTATGGCGTTCAGATGCAGAACTTCTCAATAAGTATGTAGCACATAAGGACAAGATAAATGCTTATTTTAGTTTCTAAATTAAATTCTCAACTCCTATGCATGTCAAGTTTTATTTAGCTTTCAAATTATACTCTTCAGTTCTTTTGCATGTCAGGTTTACTTCTGATAACTATCAGATTTATGTAACTATAAATCTAATATTTATAGACTATATATATCAGATTAAGAAACAATGTTGGCAGATTTATTCATTTTCTTTCTCAAAATTGTAGATTAAATACCAGAGTAGTTTTTGGGAAGAGACTTCATGGATGAGTAGTTGTTGATAGTTTCAATTATTTTATTCTTATTAATTGTTAAAGACTATTTTAGACATTAAATTCATTTGTTATCTCTAATTTTTTTGTTTACCCCACTTTCATGCTATCACATGGCTACCTTGCTTCTTTGTGTTTATGGAAATTATAAGGAATATCATTTACATCGCTTAAAATATTCTAGGACTTATGAGCATCCAAATTTGACAAAGGAGGCTGTTCCGTCAACAAACACACATCCATCGTATAGAAACAACAATATCAAGAAAGCCTTTGTCCCAAACTTTGGGTATTGACGGCATGAATCCTTTTCATCATTCAACAAGGAATGCATCTTCAATTTTGTATGTTTAACCATTAATATGACTTGTAAGAGACTAAGACTATAAATATCTGCTTTCTTTATTTCAATAGTAAACTCTACAAGAAGTCGAGAACTGACCCAATAAATTGAAACAAGTGATTTATTGGAACTTGAAAGATTAAATCTGAATTGTTTAAACCTATTCAACCCTACCAACATATTTATCTTGAGATGATTGAACTTTCATTATGTAGATGTCAGTAATTTTATGCGGTTCATCCTAACCAGCCCTACGTCAACCAAGAGAGGCATAGAGTTCAGTTTACACACTTTCATTCCCTATAGGTTACTGATACAAGGTTTTGTATCAAGAATCCCTTAACCCCTCTCTTGTTCTCTACTCTGGATAATAAGCCCAATTATTGTTTTCCACTCACTAGAATCGT